AAGCATGATGTAACTTGGCTGAAACCAACACATACCTTGGCATAATGAACTCCTTGTTACTCTCTTTCCCAACCTGAACTGCAACTATTATTGGATGTAGTCATCCAAAACCCTTCAGTCATCTTCACATACTTCTCAGAAGAACACAATGCACATGTACAGTTTAGTTTTCAAGTTTTTTTAATAAAATATAAAAAAATATATATCAATAAAGGTACATCTCATCTTATCTTATCTTAAAAGCTTTCTCAGCATGTAAATGTAATGTAATTTATATATATAAAACAAACAGTACAGGAAAACATCCTCACTCTTCCATCCACTCAGTTAAAGCTAGACAAACAAATAATAAGCGCCTCATAGTACATCTCATGCTGTTCAAAAGACAGTGCCTGTATGATTTAATTATTCAGTAACCCATACAGAGCTAGTGCTGTGAAATATCCCAGTAGTAAACCAAATAAATTGAATTAACATGGCAACATGTAACAGTAGCCTGCAGTGGTGGAATATAACTAAATACATTTACTCAAGCATTGTAGTTATACTACTGTATACTGCTGCTACACAAAATCTCAGTGGAAAATAAAGTACTTTTTACACATTACTAGTTCCACCAACAAGGGATATATATATTTTAATATTAACGCTCCTCTAGATGCCAACCAAATAACCCTAGATGTTTGTTCTAAATGATCGGAAATAGTCAAAACCAGTGCCATCAATTGCTCCTGGATCTGTGAAGAAATTTAACAAGACGATTAAAAAATATTCAATCAGACAGATACATACATCAGTTTCAAGAAGGATATTATTGTCCACACGTAGTCATAGACTCACAGTCCTACTCTGGGAGTAATAACACATGTTCTACCCCCCACAAAATGCAGATTTTAGTTTTAATGCTGCTACAGTTTTCAGCTTCCTTTACACTACAGGATCTGATACTGACATGAGCCACTGCTCCACAGGCAGACCTTTACACTATAATGTCTGCTATCACAGCTGTTAAAAGAAATGTGTGAGCCTCTCTGTATCTATCAGTATTCTTTACAGCAAGCAAAAATGAGCGAACCCGTCTGAATATTATGGAGGCACCATTTTGCAACAGCTGCTATCAAAATACAGGGCATGATACAGAAAGATGGGTCACAGGATTTGTTGTAACACCTGCACTTCCTGCAAGGCGGACCAATCGGAGCCTCTCAACGACGCTGAAGTTGGCTTCTGATTCGATGCTTCCGATTCGGCAGTTAAGGGGAAATTTAAGGGAGATTTAATTTACAGTGCTGAGCGACCGATCCTGTTTTTTTTTTTGTTTTTTTTTTACTGTTGTAAAAGCTTTAGATAAAGCCTTAACATTGAATGACACCCACTTTCAAATTTGTGAAAACTTTATTCTACTTGTCAAAATGCTGAAAGGGGAGATTTTACTGGTCTCCCCCCATATTTAGACCACATTGGACCAGGTCTAGATAAAAAACGCACTGTACCTGGACTGGACTAGATTACTCCAGAGAGGCCAGATACTCTTTCAAACACAGTTTCAGATTTGTGAAACCTTTATTCAGACATAGTGCAAGTAAATAGCAATGTCACCAATTTGCAGTGTTGCCACAACATGGACATCTCTTCTTTCTCACTTCAAAACAAAAGTAGAAAAGTTATTTTTTTCCTTTTGAAAAACCTTGAAAACACATTAATATATTAGACAATTGTTTAATTTAAATTCCAATTGTTCTTCTCTCAAAAAGGTTGAACAAATCTGAAACTGTGTCTTAGTCCAGATTTGAAAAGTCTAGTTATAGTGATTTTTGATCGTCTGGACCTGGTCCAATAAATCAAAATCAGAATCAGAATCACTTTTATTGGCCAGGTGCATACGTTGCTCTCAGTGTACATACACAAAATAAAGAAAGAAAGGGAAAAAAACCCTGTGAAATCGCCCTTTGTTGTATTTTCACATATAGAATATAGATTTCACAAATCTGAAATGATGCTTTAAAGTGTCTCTGATCTCTCTTTGACAATTCTAGCTAAAGTGGCTTTTGAAAGAGACCTGGTCTAAAGTGGTCTTTAGAAAAAAAACCTTAAAATAGTCCTAAATTCAGATTTGGCAGTTCTATATAGGCTATAGTGGTTTTTGATGGACCTGGTCCAATGTGTGTGTGTGTGTGGTGAGGAAAAAAAAGAGTAAAATCTCCCCTTTAAGTATTCTGACAAGTAAAGTAAAATTCACAAAGTTGAAAGCGGCGTTTCATTCAGCGTCAAGGCTTCATCTAAAGGTCGCTCAGCGCTGTTAAGTCCAAAAAAAAAAAAAAAATCTCCCCTTAAATTTCCCCTTAACCGCCGAATCAGAACCTTCGAATCAGAAGCCAACTTCAGCGTCACCGGCTCCTCTGCCCCTAACGCTCAGTGACGTAGGCAGCCGTGACACTTCCTAGTTTGTTTCCTGAGCTGAACCGAAACCAGACGCCCAATACCAGAATGCATCTGTGCAGGTAAAGACCCCGTTTTTAATCAGGGACGAAGCAGTTATAATGCAACGTCGCTGTGCGTGCAAACGAGACATCGGTTAGTCGGCGGATTTGTGTTTTATTTAGTTTAAAATCTGTGTGATTTCTAGCGATAAAACTGACAGTCATCGACACTGGAGCTCGCTAAGGTTAATGAGCTAACAGTTAACCGCGACAAACGGCGGGTTTGGGTCTACAGACCAGCTCCCGGTCCCGGTCCCGGTCCCGTTCAACCAGCTAGATAACGTCCGTTCAGGTATTTTAGCTGTGTTCATCTTCATCTCCACAACGCAGACCCAGGCCGCTCCTCTTCACTTTCTCCCCAGCAGCAAGCGAGCTAACGTAGCCTCAAAATACATGTCCTTACAGATGAGTGAGGCTGGACCGTGTAAGGTACAGGTACACACACACACACAC